ATTTATTGTAAATGCCACAGTCACATTGATAGACAGAGCACAGACTTCTGGTAACAAACAAACATACATTTTTGTAACTAAGCGTTTCTACTTGGTAAATAAATGCAATTTTGCACAGCCTTCCTTTTAAATGTGCCTAAACTAACCTAAATAAGCAGACAGCATAGCAGAAAAGGGAAACTTATGTGAGTAACTGTTTCTTAAGCAGTATATTATTTTTACTATGTATATAATATTTTATATTATATACACATACATTTTTATCAACAGTTCAAATTATATCCAAATAAGAAAAAAACCCAAAACTGGCGCTCCTCCAGTACATTTACCACCTTTCCCTCAGGCAAAGTTAATCCAAGTATTTTTCAAGATAGAGGAATGACAGTTAAAAAGACTCCCCCCACAAGAAACAAGTTACACAAAGAATACTGTATCACTACAAATTTTTTATTCAGAAGCCCATCTTTAAAAAAAATCTCATTATGAACTTGTTTGGTCAAACTACAACACTTTCTAGCAGACATACAGTAAAAATGGCATGGCTCAGAATCGACCAGATCTTTCACGATCTCTTGACCGCCTCCTGTCACGCTCACGTCCTCCTCCTCCACCACCACCACCTCCACGACCACGATCTCTGGATCTAGACCGACGTTCACGGGACCTCGACCTGGATCTATGCCTTCAAAGAAAGTTTGAACATTTTATTGTTTCATCACATTCAGCAATTTCCTTGCAGTACACCGCACAGTGGGACGCTTCAGGACTTAGGTAACAAGAGAAAGGCAACGTGGCTTTAAAAGGATTAGCAACTTGGCTCTCAGGCTACAAAACACTAAATTTGTTCAGCCTGTAAACACAAGTCAACACCCTGTTTGAAGACTCGACTGTTTGCTGCCAGTCGCCCACTCCTGTGGATGTGCAAAACATAATGGAAGGCACAGAGGAACCACATGCACTGTTACACAGTTGTCAATTGAAGAAGCAAGAGAAGAGGGCAACTGCTTGGGCAGTTTTGAATAGCTCCTAACAAGGCACAGCAAAAGCCTACAACTGTTTTAAGTCCACTCCTATTAAATCAACTGCATTAATTAGCAATTACAACTCAGTTATTTAGTTTTATTTTTTCTCTTTTCCCCCTTCCCTCTTCCTTCCAGAAGCTATCAGCATTTGCAAATGTTTCTGCTTCTAAGGCAGATGACTTAAATTCAGGAAGAAAGCTAAAATGACCCAGAAAGTACTTGCTAACACAGCTGCAATGGATTTATAGCTTCTAACATGTCACTTATCAAGGAAAAGAGTGGTGTGAATCTCTTTAAGCATTTTAGAAAAGTCAATTTTATAAAATAGGTAAACAGCAGTTTTAAATAGGTACAGAAGCTACAGCAGAACTAAAAAGCGCAGGGAGTTGAAAGCTCCAAGCCTTAAATTTGCCTAATACTGTTCCATGGGAAGATGTTTTGTGCGTGGTAACAAATTTTGCTGTGACAGAGAGAAATAAGTAACTCTTGCATGCCACTGAGTTGTGCAGAATTACTAAATTAATCTATTACTAATAAATTCTGGTTGATCCTCTTTCCTATTCAAGGAACTTTGATGTATTCCATTCTGTGTAGAACTACTTTCAGGTCAGTCTATGTTACAAAACCTACCTGTGAAACTCCAATGACATTAACCTGGTTTCTTGGGTTTTTTTGTTTGTTTTTTTTTTTGTTGTTGTTATCAAGCCTTACTGTTAAACCATGACAGCTTTAGCTGCACAAAATTTAAATAGCAACAAAGGATGGAGGACTTTGCTACTTTGTCTTACCACAGACTGAAACTGGGCTACCGGTACGCTAATCATATTCCAAAGCCAAATATGACAAGTCTGATCTTTCTTGCAATAAAAGGCGATACCTTATGCCAATACAAGAGCACGCTCCATCTTTTTCAGAAATCAAACATCTCAAAAGCTTAAATATAAGTTGAAATTACTATTAATTGGAATATTTTAGTAAAGTATTTAGGCAAAATACATGTGCCAAAGCAACAAAACCTACATTTTACAAAGTCAAGTTCATCCCCACACATTCTAGGACACTGCCAATTAGAGGCATTTATACAAAAAATCACATTCATAATCCTAGGCACCTTCTGCAATTGAAAGAAACCTACAATATTGCACATAATATGAAAGGAAGTTCAACAATTTCGTATGCCTGTTCTAAAGAGCAAGGCCCTAAAAGCAAGCAGATTAAATTCAGCTAGAAGTGAACCATCCCCAAGACAGGTAACATAGTAACAGCAGTGGTATAAGCCTTTCTACAAGGTACCTTAATAAATAATTTCATATTGTGATAAACATTTAATTACATATTTATCTTTTTTTTTTTGGTGATTAAGCAAAATTACTCTCTTTTCTCTCCTAGGAATTCCTATCAAGAAAGATGACAGTGAAGCTAGTGTTAATAAAAAGTGAGCTCAACACAGCAGCTGCCTGTTACTAAGACCAAGGAACGAACACCAGCCAGAAAAGTTAGCCATTAACTGTTAAAAACAAGGTTGGGTCATGAATATAACCTAGAGATAGGCTCAATTGTGCACACTGCTAAAAGTGCCCTACCAGATCCTGCCAAAACACCCATTAGCCAAGTAACCCGCTTCCAACAGTGGCCACAAGCAAACACATTTCGGAGAAGATAAAACAAAGAAGAGGCATAAAGCACTACTTCTCCCAAGTAACGCCCACCTGTACCTATTCACAGCTTGGGGATTCAAACCAGAAGTAGGCACTACATATTTAGTAACTTGGTGAGTATCCTTCTCCTTGAACCCTGCCTTCTCTTAAAGCCACATCAAACTTCAGCAACTACAGCCCTACAGAGCCAGATGTAGCTGTAACTTCTTTTAAGAGACCTATTCCTTTGTTCTAAACTGCCCACTTGCTAGCTTCACTTGATGCCCTTTCACTGGCACATGTCGGAACTGCATTAGAAAAAACAAGAGAAGATTTAAGTTTAAAGATTTGCCTTCAAAATTTTCAGCAAATGTTCCTTGGTTTACCTGTTTTAATTGTGTTTAAAAGCAAACTTACTTTTTACGCCGCCGCCCGTACAACTCACGTCTTAATTCTCGAGAGATGGGCTTCAGATGCATGAAGTTGCAGAAGCCGCCTCGTGTACACTCGCTGCAACACAAGCCAAGGGGCACGGTTACAACTCCCACCTCCACGCTGCACCTGTTTGCCCAAAGCCCTAGTGCACCTCTACCCATATAAAAGTTCATCACCTCCAACATTAAACCCAGTGAATTGCAAGCACCATTTACTAACACTGACTCATTCCTAGATCAAAATTAAAAAACCATGCCCAAAGTCCAAAGGCTGACTGCAGGTCCTACCCGAAGTGGTCAATCTTCCTATGCTACGCTACACACAGAAGCCACACCCAAGCAACCACCCTGCCTGTTCAAGCATTTCAAAAGTACTGCCACTGGCAAAGAGGAGCAGGTCACTTTTTACCCCATTTCATATTGACGGCAACAGGCCTCTCTGAAGTCAGTCACAGGTGAAAGCTCAGCATGAATGGGCTGTCCATTAAACCAGCGATTGTTCAGGTCAATCACAGCCTTTTCTGCATCTTCTTCACGGCGAAACTAAAACAAAATTAACATTTTCTCATGTAATAGAGAAGCAACAGAAACACATCCAAGATGCCTATCACATCAGTTGTGTGGTATCTGAGGCTTAGGACCAGTAATCAAACTACAAGCTACTTCAGAGTTCCTGGGACAGTCCATTACACCTAGGGTAAGCTTAAAGACACTAGCTTTTTGTTAATCAGGACTCACACCAAATTATTCGATCTTTCACACCTCCCCAACACTGTGCACACACAATAAAATTTCTGCAAGTGACAACTTTGTTCTAGTTATTTGGGAGATACCAGTGACCTTTAAGAGCCAAATCCAAGTGCTCCAGTTTGCACCTTAAACCACCCATCTACTGCCAAACAACTTGGTTACATGTTGTTTCACCAGTAAGTTAGAAAATAAATGCACCTGTTGAAAATATGCACACTTGTTGCAAAGAAATCTCTGCTTATATTGAACTGCCTATAAAGGCAGTGTAATGGGAAGACAGACCAGAAATTAATCTGGGAAACCAAACAGTCCAGCAGTGGTGACTGTGTTTATACCCATTTAAAAGAAGCATTAATCTATATAAAAATAACACAGTTTTTGACTACAACAAAAGCTTCTCATCATCTCTTAAAATTTCTTTCAGATTTCATTCACATTTTCACTATTTCTACTTTATATTGTGAAGTTGGAGAGGACCTTATAACCTAGAGAGTCACTCATAAAAATCTACAAGCATCCAGTAGCTTTTAAAGGTGTAAATCAGCAAGCCCCACCCCTATTGACCATATAAACATGCCTCCCTTTATCCTACCTTTACATATACGTTTCCAACTAGATGATCTCCAAGGTTATCACAGACGTTCATCTCCTCAACTTCACCGTATTTTTCTTCCATTTCTGTGAAGACCTCCTAAGCACGAAACAACCAATTAAAAGTTTGCATCACATTAGTGACAAGCACAGCATTATTGCCTTCAGCTGTTAGTAAGTACAAAGGAAGGCCTTCCTTAAAAAAAGAAACAAACCAATTTTTTTTACATTTCTGATTTTAAAATTAGTACTCGCTCACCCTGTACTGTGTCCATTTATATGTATAGCACTAAAAGGGTACAACAAAAAGCTATGGAAGACATTATGCATGCAGTATTTACAGAATCCATAAGATACATTGAAAACACTACATACAAGCCTCAGTGTTATAGTTTTTCTTAAGTTACTGCTATACAGGTAAGTACATTTTCAACTTACAGCAAAGAAGGGTATTATAGAATCAAAATGCTACATCACTTAAGTTGTTGATTTTTAAACAAAGTATGCTATAAACAGTAAAGTTAAAGCTGATCCAACCAAAGGTTTTCCCAGAAAGTGTTTAGTACTGAAAGTTGTATGTTTATATGAACACCTGAGGAAACAAGTACTCTTCTCTGAATCCATCCAACTGTGCTAACAATTTTAACTCATTTGTGTCCACAAATCCACAAACACTTAAATGCATTTTCGCATCTTTCACATACCTCAAAGAATTCATCATAATGTTCCTGCATCTCAACATCGCTCACAGCACCTGTAAAAATCAAAGAGTCATATTGATTAGAGCCTATGAATAAGGAAGAAGAGATTTTGATCATACTACAAAACAATCTAGAGAGGCCGTCTGGAGCATAAAAGTCACCATATAGCATGGAGGTAACTAATAGGAGTATTAAAGGTAAATATGTTTGAAGAGTTTTGAGTCCTCCAAGTATATGTCAAAACATTACATTGACATGATCAAATCAAACCAAGTTTTAATCAGAGCCAAACTTGTATGCCACAAATTTATAGGAAGGGGAAATACTCTGTAATATCACTTAAGCTTAATGTACAGTCCCACTTTTTCTACCAACAATTTTAACTAAACAGAAGGCAAGTGCTTTGTTACATTTGGATATTTTAAAGCATGATTCCAATTTGGTATTCCTCTTCCTAAAGGCAGAACTTCATTTTAACATGTCCACCTCTCCAGCATATACACTAGAATTTGAGAGCTGACAATGTAAAATAGCCCAGAATTTATTTTTTTAATTAGCTCAAAATGGTTATTGGAATGACTCATTTTTCCCAGTGCCCTCAGAGAAGGGTACCATGAAGCTTTGCAACAGAAAGCAATTTTCTAGCTTAATTTGGAGTATCACTTAATTTTTCTGTAGTCCTGCAGAACAACTTTTAGTGCAAGACAAGCCAGCCACATATTGAGGTTAGATTATTTTTCATGCTCCAAGCTGGACTTCACAAATGAGCGCTGCTTGCCTGCTGCTATAAAAAAACAACGTAAGTTTGGCTGATTTTTCAAAGCATTAAGAATATAAGAATGAATTTCATTTATTTCTTCCAGTCTACAGTACTTTAAACTACATTAAGCTGTATATATTAAAGCCTAATGTATTAGCTCTTCAGCAGGTAAGTGGTTTATCAAAATTAAGTGGAGCAGCTTTTAAATGAACCCTGCCTTTTTTTTTTTTTTTTTGCTAGAAAATTATTCTAGCCTTCAAATTACCAACAGTACTGTTTTAGCTCACAATATAGGAGACAAGAAACTGAGCCAACAAAGCAGAGTTTATTCACCTCAGGCTGTTATGAAAAAAAGACAAGCTTTGGGCTCACTCATTTTTGGCTAATATTACCATTTGGACAAACTTTACATTGTTCTTCAAAGGCACAAGTATTACCCAGCCACACTCTGGAGTTGTAATTACTTTTCTTCCACCCAGCTCACCTCCTGAAGGCGGCTACTGGGCGCTTCTTATATAGTTTAGGCTAACAATGTTTCTGCATTTAATACATATTTGCTTTTAAGAACTTTCTTCTTCTCCACAGTTATATAGCAAATTAAGGAGTATCAAATATTAAACCACTATTTCTAGACAGTTTAATACTTAACTATATTCCCAAGGTTCTGCCAAAACCACTGATAACAGCTTACTGGTACCTAAGGTTTTGGGGTTTGTTTTTTTTGGTTTGCTTTTTATTTTTTAAAAAAAGGTACGAAAGAGGGGGCCTCTTGTGAACCACACTGGTAATAACTACCTTTTACCAGGTGGACAAGTGCTAAAAACTCGCAAGGAGATTCCATTGTCAAATTAGGAGATCATAAGCAACAGTTAGTTAACAACTACTTCAATATCCTTCTAAAGTGGAAAGCATATATATGCACAAGCTTCACAAACATTTATATTCCAGGGCTACCGGTATCTGAACCTTGACAAGCCCAATTACTAATTAAACTACTGCTTTTCAAAACTAAGGTTAATCCTCTACAATGGCAATAGAAAGGAAGACAGTTAAGCAACAACAATAGCATTAAACAGCTACCCAAGTTATCCATTTAAAATACATGCAATACTTAAGTTGGGACAAAACACTGAAAAACCAGGGAGCCAGGAGTTTCAGCACACCTACTGGTCCCAGAGCTCCAGCTCTACCACAGAAGATGGCGGTCAGGCTCTGCTAAAGAGCTACCCGCTGGTCAAGGCACCCTAGAGTTGGATACTAGCATTCAGAACACTACAGGATCTGTTCCAAGGCTCTCACAGCTGAACAATCTAAACAGCTCCACAAACCAAACACTGCAATTCTGTGCAAATTAGTTACCAGCTCATTGAGGGACAGAGTAGAAATGGCCAACTGGATGGTTTTTGGTTTACTGAACCAGCAGTAACTACTAAGCATCTGCAACAAGAAAGCCTCCAAACCAGTAAAATTGTTGAAGCATCTGGACAAACTTCTATAGCTCATTATGCATCTAGCCTGATGCTGTAACAAGAAACTCAAGTTACTTAATTGGGCCATTATTACTTTTAGAAGCAGAAGAGACAAGTGTTGACTTTTAAGTTAGTGGCTGATTTCACAAAGCATGTCTAATCAAATGCTGGTAACTAATCTGAACTAGTCTATAATCCAACAGTCAAAAAAAGGAATAGCCAAAGAAAGCTTTATTACCACGCAGTCAATATTCACTTCAACAAGAAATATTAGTTAGAAAATAACACCGATCCTTTTTGGTTCTAAAACTCTTTTTAAAAAAAAAATCTTATTCTAATATTGCATCATTGAGCACAACAACAGAACACCGATCAACAATCCTGGTCATTTAACCTCTGCCAGTCTCACAGGGTGCTTTCTTATGCCCATTCCTACCTCATGAGGAGTCATTAAATTAGTTCATGACCGTACCCAAATGCCTTCCCCTCCTCAAAAGTACTTTGAAAGATATTTTTTTCTTAGGCAAATATGCAACTTGGGTTTGGAATTTGAATTTTCAAAACATGGAAAGAATTCTAAGCATGCACCTATCCAGAGGGGACAGCTGCCAGAAGGGAAGTGTTTGTCAGTCAGAGGGTATTCTTCCAAAGGAGACACTAAATGGAAGCCGCATTAGCCTAGGACAAACTTCTGCATGCAGTCTGAAAAGTTTCAAATTCATGTTCTCTTAACATTCACAGAGCAGGAAATTTGTTCCAGATGAACTCAACACGTCATTATCCTGCTCTTTTAGACAGCAGAACGTAACGGATGGCACAAAACACACAGACCAGTATTCCTAGGATACAGGTAACTGGCAGGGAGAAAGGTGGAGGGAAGGAAGCAGTGCAACCAAGACTGCTTTACAGGGGAAGCAAAACGTCAACCCTTTTTGATTTAATAGATTGTATTCAGATTCCCCTCGGTTTTGAGAACAAGGAGGAAGGCGAGTGGGACAAAAAAAAGTCTTGGGTTTTTTTTGTTTGGTTGGTTGGTTTTTTTTGGTGTGTTTTGGACACATTTAATGAAATGTGGTCAGTTTGATCTGTTAAACTAAAATGGTAGACCAGCTTAAGTCGACACTGAGCTCTGACAATCAAGCCCAGGGAACCAGTGAAGGAACTTGTATGAACTTACAGCGCAAACCGTCAGCAGACTGGGAAGAGTTTTGAGGGTTACGGTAAATGTTCAAGAGGGCAATGGTCTGAAATACAAAACGCAACAACTTTATATTATGGAAAATAATTTTAACAAGAAACCGGTTTCCTTTAGGGTCGCTTTAGCCGAGTCTGTGCTGAAAGAAAGGTGGTTATTTTCTCCCGAGAAGGAGAATTTTCACTTAGCTGGTGACCTTTCTGAATCAACCTAACACTGTAAAGTAATAGAGATCTCATGATACTGCATTATTGTATTTTTTTTTTTTTTTTTTAAATTTTATTCGGCAATATTGCTGTGGAGGGATTTTGCATGATTTCAGGCAGACATGTAATAGATGGCATCCAAGCGCAGTATTCATATTACAAGCATAATCATCTGACATTGGCTTTACTGCATGGTTTCTTAACAGCAAAATCCCAGGGAAGGAATACAATAATTACAGCATAACATGAAATCTCCATTTTTCCTATAAATGTTAATATGCAAGAAAACCCAGTTTTGTGAAACTTACCGTACCACACATATATACCTATTTTTTTTATTTTTGGTTGTTGTTCGTAAATCAAGAATTTGAGAAATGTCTGCAGTTTAACCCTTGAGAATGCAGTGTTACTAGGCACTCAAGTTTTGCTTTGCAGGGCAAAAGGGAATCTGCATCGCATCCAATTTATGCAGTCAGTTCTGCATTCTGAATTGCACACATTTAACAAGTCCTTGACCTATGCGCAAGAAGAGTTCCGTCACTTGTCCTGTTTGCAACAGCTTTATGTCAGCAGCTCAGAAGCCAACATTATTTTCTCATAATTAGGAGTGGGCTCTTTAACACCATTCTTTAAAAAAATTTCTCCAACTGTGGGACTTACAGTGTGAGCCGTCAGCCGTCTGTGCACTGTTTTGGGGGTTACGATAGATGTTTTGAATCAAGATGGTCTGCGGGGAAAAAAAATAAAAAGGGGAATTCTACTGGCTGCTGTGCATATAATAGACAATTGCAAAGAGACAACTTGTTTGCAAATAGCTAGAAGTAATATTTTATTCTCAAGACTTCCTTTTGTAATTGTAGGATATCTTCCAAAATTGCATCCAGACCATCATATTATGAAAACAGTTTTAATTAACCACCAAGAAAGAGCTGCGTTTCTCTCAACAGCTATCCTCAAGATGGGAGTTGTGAGTCACAGTAACCTAAACTGTCAGCTACGTGGTATTATGGAGGTGCCTAGCTTTCAAGACCAGATTTGTTATCGTAAGCCTAGGGGGGGAAAAAAAATAGTGTTACGTGCACAGCTTGTAATACATAACGCCACGGAGCCTACAATGTTACACCAGACAGTAAAGTTTTGAGGCAAGCGCTACATCTCGTTTTGTGCATCAGGAATTTCTTGGTGGAATTTCTGTTTAGATAATATAATAGCATCATAGGTTCACATGTTTCCGATCCTTCAAATAAGGACAATATCCTTTTAGCCCTTCTGCTTTTTACTTGAAGAATTAGCCCAGGCAGACTTGAAACCTTACATTTGTACCGTTCTTCTTAAAATCAAGTTGTCTGAAAAAACAAACCATGTTTAAGTTAGTAAACTAATATTACAGAAAAATTCCAAACGTCCATATCACTGTAAGCAGCTCAAAAATTGAAATTTGATTACTTAAAATACAAACTCAAATGTTAGTTCATATGAATTGCAATCCCCAAATAATTTTAGCTTACACATTATTATTAGTCACAGTAAGAATTCAGAGCTTAAAGTTGTCACAGGACCAGCAATATCATACCTACATATGCTGTCCACTAAACACATAAAAAAAATAATCTGTAACATCACATTTAAAAATCACACGGTTTACAACAGGTATGGTCATACCAACCAAAGCTTTGTGCTTCCGTGGCCCAGGTTTAAGCTATGTTTTAGCCTATGAGTGGAGGGAGCCAGAAACATGCATGCAGTTACAGTGTTTCTGCTGATCGGAGGTAATTCGATCGCTCTGGATCGCGTGACCTTTCCCAATGCAGCTCTGCCCTAAAGCAGCTGCACCAGCAACAGCTTTGCCAGAGAAAAACACTGTGCCAGTAACTTCCAGTTAGCAGGGAATCTGCTCTTCTGCTTTCTATCACAGCTGATCATCAGTCTGCATACAAATACAGATTTCTGCAGCAAACCCCACAGGGCTGCCAGGTATGTCAGGGTGTTGCAGCACAGCACAGCTGCAGGTGCGATGCTGCTGCAGCCCCAGGATCCATCGCTGGACCCATCCGACAGGCCCTGCTGACCCACTGCAGCTGGCACTGCCAGCTGTCCTCCCTGGGGCAAAGCTAAAGGCTGCACAGAAAGAGGGAAATGCTGTTGCACATCAAGGGTATTTTTAGTAAAAAAAAAAAAAAAAAAAAAGGCTGTAGAATCATAGAACCATTAAGGTTGGAAAAGACCTTGAAGATCATCAAGTGCAACCATCAATCCAGCACTGCCATGACCACTAAACCACATCCCAAAGGTAGTGTAGTTTGGTTTGAGTTTTTTTTTTTTATTTATTTTATTTTTTAACTTCCAGAGAACTGCTGTGGAAGTTGTCCAATTTAGAAGCATTTTCTAGTAACCAGTGACCTAAATTCAGGTCTCTAAATAACCAATCACGTTTCAGCATGCCCTCCATGTACGTCAGCAACATAGTAGTTTTGAAAACTGACAATATTATTTGAGGTACAGCATTTACATTAGAAAATACTAAACTCCCAGAAGCAGCGAATTGCAGATGAAGTTCTAGCACGGTCCCTATCAATCAGTAACCTGGACAGTGTCCCCTAGAACTGCCCCTGCCCACTTGGAGAGTTTAACTCCATGAGCACCACCACTCTGAACTCCAGGCACATCCCTGCCTCCCTAATTCTCCCCAAACCAGCACGAGCCCATCATCCTCATCATCTCTGCTCCAAGTTGGCAAGGAAGTCCTCTTCAAGGTCATCTTAGCCATGTGAGCTTTACCTTTGTAGGTAAAACTGCTGATGGGGCAACAGCTGATAAGGCACTACCTGTGCTATACAATGTTCCCAAAGAAATCTATTTACCCGTATACCTTGACAATCAGCAGTGATAGAAAGAGGTAAAGCATACAGTTCCTCAGGAATGTAATTTCTCAACATAGAGCTCATAATAATAAAGCTCCTATCATCCACTGCACCCTCTTTTTCCTTCTGGCAGACATATGCAGTCACACATGTCTCTAACAATATTCACGTAGCCAATGATTAAATAATCTGTCAAGTCAGCTGACATATACAGCCTCAGCAACCAGGCAAGTTGTTTTCAAGAAATAATTCTTTCACATTCAAAGGGTGTATGTAGGTTAATCTCAAAAGCCTGGGTTAGAGAGCAAATGTCACGACAAACGAGTCGCTTTTATTTATTAACTAGTTTTATTCTACTGTATGCATAAGACTTAAGTTCACGCCCTTGAGACAGGCGGAACAGGCTGCCATTGTTTGTCATGACAAAAATCTGGGATTGTTTAAGTGCCTAAACGCCACTGAGGAGGCACACTCACCTGAAAGTTAGCACTGGTTGGTCTCTACTACAGGCAAGCTTACAACAGCATCGCTTCCTGCAGCCATTAAGGGTGACAGGAGATGATTAGAAATGCTGGGAGAAGTAAATGGAATACCCCCAAAAGAGCAAAAACACAAAAACTGGGGCCAAAAGCGAACTAGTTAATCCAGAACTCGGTAATTAATAACTTGTATCTGAGAATCTATATTTTAAAGAAGCAGGAATATACTTCCACAAGAAATAGAAAACAAAAGGAAAACAAACCTGGCTAAATGTTGGTTTGTTGTGCAACCGAGAACATCTGTCTCCATGACGACAAGCTCCAATTTTGAAATAAAATGAACAGTTGACTCTGCAAGTAAAAAAAACACAGTAGCTACATATCAGAACAGAAAACATTAACAACATGCAATTCATATACAACACGTGCCCTAAATACCCCTTTATCTTAATGTAGAGAACTAACGTAAAAAAAATTCAAAACAGTATAGGAAAGCATTACAGCAAACCTGCTCACATTGATTCCTCTTTTCCCCTAATCCACAGCAAGTTATCTGAACCAGCTCACCCGTTGCTCATACCCAAAGTACACTTAGGACACCGGCAGGGACAGAAGTGATCACTACTGGTTTACTCTTCCAGTTCTCCATTATCATCTTTACATCAATTTCACTGGGTAATGGGATGGGAAATAGTGTGAAAACAGTCTAAGAAGTTACACTACAAGTGATATGGTTGTGTCTTAGCTCATGAAACCCTCTACTCTAGGCAATAACCTGCTCTAAAGGTCATACAGTTGCACCTACCCAATGTTTTACAAGCCACCTGTTTAAAGTTGTACTCTAAGGATAACTGGGAGTGCTGTTAACACAATATTTGAAATAAATCAGGTAAGAGAAAGATGATGTTAGAGAGAATACAGACAAGCAATATAAATTCATTTAATTAAGCCATTTCCATGTAATAACTTTAAAAGGAAGCTTTTAATTCTTTTTTTTCAAACTACAAGATTTTGTTTAATTAGCTATTAACTCATGACATTTTAAAAACTACACTGGTTTAGCAATGCCAGTAAAGCTCTCACAGGTAAGTGTAATTCACATGGAATGATGAAAGAAAACCATGAGTTTAGTTACCTTGACTAGGAATACTGAACACAAGATTCTGAAGGGCAAGAAAACTATTATGGACTATGTATGGGTAAGCAAAATTTAAGAATTCTCCTGGAAGAAAGGTTATTATTCCCAAGTTCATAGTCAGTACCAATTCTTTCCACAATCCTGTGTAGTCAACATCAGCTCAGGGAGGGGAGAAATATTAAAGCGCTAAAGCATACCTATCTTTAGCAAAACATTCTACCGTAAAATTGTAACATGATTACTTTTCATCACGTTTTTGAGAATATATATGTAGCATTACAACATACTTACTGTCTTTTCTGAACTCTAGCCTGAAATAAGAAAAAACACACCTAACTAGAAAATTTCCAGTAGTGCCTCCAAGTAACACTTTCTGGAGAGTTCTGCTTGCTTTCTGAATAGAAAATAAGAGCAGTACAGGAATTCCATGCCTGCTGTATTGGCACATCCTGATACTGTTAAACTAATGCATTACATCCAAAAGATGCTAAGTGACAGAGCTGAGGAGCGGCTGCCGACACTGCTCTTCTGACAGCCCAGCAAATTGGAACCGGCAGGTAGCACTACAAAGCAGAAGGAAAGCCCCACGGTCAGGGGCTGACATGAGTAATTTAGTCCAGTAGCACATCGATGCCCCCTTTCATTTTTACGAGTGGAAAAACACGCTGGTTTGGTCAGGCCGACGGTGACCAAATTTTCGTTAGGAGGGTTTTGTAAGTATGCTTCCAACAACCAGAGAAACTAGAGGCGTTCCCGACGCGTGGAAGGCTGCAGGCAGAAGCCTGAGGATCAGGATGCAGCAGTCGGGGAAATCCTCCGCACCCTGGGGAGGGGGGAGAAATAACCAGTGGCTGTCCTCGCAGCAGAGCGGAAGCTCTCGGGCTGCTGCGAGGCGCGGAGACGCGAACAAAAGGGGCAGAAGAGGCCCTGTCTGGCGGGAGGCGGTGCCGGCGGGGAGCTCGGCACCCAGCGGCTCC